AAGTTATACCGCGCTATATTAGACGTAGTAGCCGCCCTAAACGTAGCGAGTCTCTCCCTTAAGTAAATAGAGCGCCTTATAGGCTTATTAGCTTTCTATTCACGAGTTATTCGGCTAGGAAGAATAAGGCTATAGTCCCTATATACCTTTTAAGCCGCTTTCCTATATAGGAGTAGCGCGCGCCGCCGTATCCCTTACGAGGTACGTAATTATTTAGAATAGTAGAGGAACTCCTTATCTCTCTTTAATATTTTACTCTTAATAGACCCCTACCGCCGCTTTATTACGTATCTCTATATAGATACCTTAAATATAGGCTAGGGGCTCTTCTTCTTTTTATCTAAGTCTATATTAGACTACTAGCTAGCCTATTATTACTAGCTTTATCTAAGTAATACTACTATATTAGCCCTTACTTAAGACGTATATACGTATATTAATACTAACGAAGTAGACGCTATTCTATAGGGCTTCCTACTCTTTAGCTATTATTAGCTCTATTATACTCTCGTTATCCACACGGATAGCTCTATAGCCTATACGGGACTATAGAAAGGCTTCCTTTATAGTCCGCCTAACGTATCTCTAAAGAGCCTACTTATCCTAGCGGCGGCGAGAGATATCTATATCGTGCTATACTAGCTCTCTTCCGGGGAAAATAAATTAGTAGATACGCTCTTACGTAATAATCTTAAAGATATTACTAATATTTATCCCTATTAGTAGAACCTCTCGGTATTAAACCGCCCGCGTGGTTCTCTTTACGAGCTCCTTAGCTTAATATAGGCCACCTAAAACTACTCTAGAACGGACTTAGCGCTAATATACGTTCCGTTTACCTCTCCGTTTAGCGTAACTACGAAAAGCACTACGCGCTATAAAATATACCCACTTAGCTAGTGTCGAGATATTCTTTATCTTTATAGTTAAGCGCACGACTCCTTAGTAACGCTAGCTAAAAGGCCGTTAAGCCTAATACCGCACTCGCCGACCTAGCCGCTCTCCGAGTATATTATATAGATAACTTCCTTAACGATAAACTCTTCGATAATAAGTATTTTCGACGTCTTATAGACGGCGCGAGAAGACTTAACCCTACCATAAAAGTACGGGTCAGAAAACCGATTTCGCGTGATACTATTACGAAACTATCCGTAGGCCTTACTACACTCCTATTACGGCCCTTAGAGATATCTATAAACCTTCTAAACGACCTAAACTTCGTAACCACGTACTAGGTAGTATTTACGGAGTTCCTCCGCCTCGGAGAATTCACCTATAAGACCGAAGACCTTAGAATACGTTCTATCTTCTTAGCTAAAAAGTTAATACGCTCCGACGTTAGATTCTCGTCCTTATTAGACTACGCATAACTCACACTTAAGCGTAGTAAGACGGACCGCCGCTATAAAGGAGTATAAATTATTCTTATAAGGACGGGAGACGGCGTATACCTAGTTAATACGCTATAGAAGCTACTACTTCTCGACCTAAGAGGGCCCGACGCCCCCTTATTCTCCTTCTATAGAAGACCATTTAGTCGTAATAATTTCCTCTTAACCTTATCCACTAAGCTACGATTACTCGGGATATAGATAGACGGCTACTTAGGTTATAGCTTTCAGAAGGGCGCTGCTTAGTATACGTACGATAGTAGGATACTCGACGACTAGATCTAGATATTAGGTAGATAGACTTCGGAGGCGTTTAGGGTGTATTTTACGACGAACGTATTAGACCTATATAAGCTTAATTACTAGTTCTAGATAGGCTCGCTAGCTCCGCTATCTCTACTAATTCTACCACCGTCCCCTCCACTATCTTAGTTTAGCCCGGGTTATTTAGGCCTTATCTAACGCTACGGTCTACGACCGTAGCGATAGGTGACCCGTTATAGCTAAACTATACTCTTCTTACTCCTCTTAACTACGTAAGGTCACTAATAAAGGGAGTGGTTTTATTAGGGTTACCTCATAATGTAGCCTCACGTGATATCTACACCGATATTACGGAGGGCTCCTCTTCCTCCTATAACTACCTCGAGAGTCAGTTGCTGGCCTATGCCGGTAGCTCGTCATCTCTCACGTAGTTAAGTCTTGATTTTGTCCCTCCCGCCTTCCCTCTATATATAGAATCCACTACAATACAGACACATTACCTCCCTTAGGGGAGTGCGGACGGGCCTTATCTGACGCTACGGTCTACGACCGCAGCGACAGGTGACCCGTTATGGCCAAACTATACTCTTCTTGCTCCCCTTGACTGCGTGAGGTCACCAATAAAATAGAGAAAAAAGGAGTGCGTAGTCAGCTGCATAAGAGTCACATGGGATACTGAAACAGGTTAAGTTAGCGAATTTTATGCTAGTGCGGATTTCTAATGGATTTTGCGGACATCCAACGGATATCCGTGGATGTCCAACAGTTGGATGCGGATACCAAGGTGATATCCAACATCCGCAATTTGCGGATGCGGATATCAATTTGACATCCAACGGAGCGGATTTGCCGCAGCCTAATCAGAGGTAATAGCTTAAGCATCTGTTGCTAGATAAGCTCTATTTTGCTGCACCTAATCATCAGCAGCGTAGGAAAAATGCCAAAAGTCTAAAGACCACCTAATAGCTACTTCCGATTTTTTGGTAGGGTGTGCTTCAGGAAATGGGATGGAAATCAGATTTGTGGATATAGAAATCATTTTAGCTTCTAAGAAACTGAAACCGGCGAGAACATTGTGCGTAGTAGGTAAGGAGCCCCAGACCTCCATAGTCTAGCTAAATACGACTAGAGCAAGTTTCTATGGTGATACATTATATTTTACATTATTATAACTTCGTCATGACCAGAGGGAAGTATGATCAGTTAGACATCAGGTCCCGAGGCAGATGGTAGCTACTGTACATGGAGAGCCAGTGAAATTAGGAAAATGAGCCAACGGATAGTGTTTCTATCAGAAGAGCGTAAAAGTGGAAAATCACTTCTCGTACAGGTATGCTAGAGTTGCAATGAAGGATTTAAACCCACCTCTAGGTTAGAGCAGAGTTAAGTCCGAACCTTCATGCTCTGACCGCCCCATACTAAGAAGTGTTTTCCTAATAAAGACAAAGCCTCGATCAGCTGAGCCCAGTCCTAGCTTACAAATTTAGCACAGCCAACAACGAGGGAAGCCACATTATTTGAAATCAGCTTTAGTCGGTATTACTAATGCTGAGGAATCTAACTTAAGTAGTTATCGGTCGGCAAATTGTCTAAGTCTTACAGACAGCCCGTGTCAAGAGCAAGTTTGAATCATTAAAATAGATCATAATCCCATGATACAGTATCGGTGATAAAGGAGATAAGCATTGATTTTTGGATATTCTGGTAAGCGTACAGCGCGGCATAATCACTTTACCGCTTGAGACGACGAAATACTAATCGCGAAATGCATGATTCAAGAGTCGCTGTGGTTTAAATAATTGGAGCTCTCGAGTTTACCTCCTAAGTCTTGTCCTCTAGGGCGAAAGGTCAGCCCATTCACGATCTCTATACGTCAGAGGGCGTTCATCTATCGATGGTAAGTCTCATGGATGCTACACCAAGGTTAGGCCGCAGAGTATCATAGTAATTGAGAAGCCAAAGGCGCCCTTGCACGCAACATATACCTCCCATGATAATCCGGTTTCGAAGCAAGCCATGCATTTAATGGTTAGTGTGTGGCGTTTATAGCGCGTGGTTCCCAATGAGGGTTTTACTTTTCCCCAATGACAACAGTGCATGTGAAATGCAAACCTTGGATCAAAGAAATAAATCGGGTTCTACTTCTAAATCAACGAAAGTTTATTTAAGACTGGTAAATCTAATGGCAAGTGGTATGATGACAGTGAAAATTACCATTGAAACCATTCAAACTTGGCTCGGTTGAGCTTCGCTTCTTCCCAAGGTGAGAAACCGCCTCTCGCGACTTGATCCTCTCTCCCCCGCTGCCTACGCTTTGGCGTCGTCGACTGATCTCATCGATCTGCTAGATTCGGTTATATAGTGCAATCATGGCAGAAGACGAGTTTGACGTAAAATTTGACGCCGATATACCTATACTTACTATGACAAGAGGTCCATAAAATGACCGGTTTGTAGTTTCTTTTTGAAGGTCAGTTACCTTGGTACACTTGGACCGTCCATATATTTATGCCTTCCCTGCTGCATTACTTTATTTCGCGTTTATCGCCAGTGACATGGCATGATATAACTTGTACGGCAGTGGTGCTTTCGGAGACCCTGGCGTCGGCAAATCCAACCTCTTAAGCCGATTCACAGAATATTTAAGCCGTACTCCAAGGTCACCATCTGCGTCGAAATTGGGACTCGCTCCATCCGAGTTAAGTCTGCGAGGATAAAACCTCAGATCTGGAATACCTGCCGGGCAGGAACGATATCGGGCAATTCCAAATGCTTTGGAGTAGATGAGACCAATTGAAAGTATATGCTGTTAGTATATTAAAGTTCGCTTCCATCTTTGCACTGAAGACACTGAAGCAGATAGGATCTTCTTTGATGATTCATAGTAAGCCACACGCCACATTCCACTCATCATAGAGAGAATTCAGCTTGGTCATCATTAATCTCGGGATTCACGCCCATCGTGGCCCGAGAGGTAGTCCATACTCATATCGAATAAGCTCGGGTAGTTAGGCCAATTGGAAGGAGAGGTTCACTGACAAGACCTCACAAAACTTGTCTATGCAGTGAAAATGTTTGGACTGGCCAAGCTCGACAATACAACCAATAAGAAAGAGCCTGTCAATCTCCTTAGCGAATGCAACGTACGTCGACAAGCAAGCACAACTTTTATCGGGTTGCATAGAATTATTTGCCGTCCGACTACAAGTTCTGTTGGGATTTCAACGAGGATTCAGCAATGAAATGATTACTAAGCGAATTTGACACCTGGGTTAGTTAGTTAGTTAATAACTGACTAGTTAGTTAAATTATTTAGTTAACTAGTTAGGGTAGGCGGTACGGATATGATGCTCCGACAAAAAGTCGACCGCTGCTAACTTGCGACCCCACAATAATCATCGCCTGCTCCATAGTTCTATGATTATCAACATCAAGCCTATCTGCGTTCAACCTTCTTTGTTACCATGTCCCAGAGCGAAAGGCGCACGTTTATCAACTACGACCTATCTAATCCCCGGCCAACGCAAAGCCAGCGCCGAAATGTGTCAGCTTTTATTGGAAGGCATTTTCGAAATCGTTCAGCCCCCGCGCAACAAGCACAGTCGCTCCCTCACAACGATGACGGGAGGCGACTTCCCCTCTTACCGAGTCCGTCGGCTGTAGTGAATGGCCGACAAGTAGTGCGGAATTCGCAGCCATGCAGCTCAGGCGGCGCCAGATGCTCTTCCCAACAAATAGGCACTGGGTCGGAATTTTCCGACTCTGTAGGGCCATGTTCCAATGGTTTCAGCCCCCTGCTACGGCCGGTAGTAGAATGCCTCGTCCCAGCCTACCCGACTGAACATCGACAGAAAATCTTTCAAATTCTTGATTTCCGTAAGTGCTGCCTCTCGCTGGGATGTGCGTAAATTAATATTACGGGTGGCATTTATTACTTTCTCTAATTAAATGCTTCATATCAATGAACAGACATCCATTACATCCTCAACCTAAAAACTCATTGGGGTGAAGGTCCAAATGCGTTTGCACGCTGTTGGGTACAGATGATCTGCAGCGATATAGTACTTTTCGATTCAGTAGCCGCATTTTCACACGGCATACGTATTACTACCTTGGGAGATCAGGTTACACCAACTGCCGGCATGTTATGGCACAAGGCTCGGGCATTGAGGGGCCTTCAAGCCAAACTTTCAGCAGAGAATGTGGACAAAGTGGCTGTACGGGCTTCAAATGAAACAATTTTAGCGACATTCTACCTAATGGAAGCAGCGGCAAGATTTGGTCATAGCACTGAGTTCAAGACCCATTGTCTTGGCTTTCTTCACATGATGCACTTGAGGGGCCAGGTCATAAGCCCTTGTTTGGAAGACCTCTATTTTACGCAGGCGGCGGGATTGGTAGAAGGGACCGAGATGGCAGCCAAGCTCAGACATGGACTCATTCCCAATGCTCCTCCAATACCTAGCCATGAGTCAGTCGCTATTACCTCTGACGCGAGAATATTGAGTCTTCAATACCTTCAACCAGGATTGCAATCTGAGAGGGTTTTACGAGACACTATCGATAGCTTACCAGTGGGTTTTCGTGACTTGGCTGCGACAGGAAGTCTCAGTACGGATTTTATCCTTCTCCTGGAAGAGCAGCTTCAACAATATGATAACACGACGGAAGCAGCAGAACGACAAATGAAGGGAATTAGAAAAGCTTGGCTTTTGGCTAGTCAGTCACATAATGCGGTAGAAGAATTGGCTTGCTTGGGTATTATCGCATTCCCCACACGGCATACAGCTCAGATGCAGTTATTTCCGGAATTATCATTACTTAAAGGGGTAAAGCTGCTGGGGCAGCAGGTGAGATTTTTTGGCTTAGCTGGACCCTTCTGTTTTCTTGAACTCAGAGCTTGGGTTATACTTGCTGGTGCTGAAATCGCCACAACAGCGGGTGCCGCTCTGAAGCAGCATGCTTATGATATGATGACCGAGTTGCTTTTCGAAGAGCGATGGATCGACAGTTGGAGGAGTATTGAAAGGGCGGTTAAAGGATACTTGTGGAACGAAAAGACCACGGTTGCGTGGAAGAGATACTGGACTAGCTATCAAGATGTAAATAGGAGCTGATATCGAAGCCGAGAAGATTTGCAATAGAGATGGCGCACGATGGCATGAAATAGCTAAACAACTTCAATAATTTGATATATGACCTACCGGGGGGGGGGGGGGGGCACAGGGATTGTTTCTTCCAGGTAACTTGTACGACAGCAGCCCCGGCCAAAAAACAGAGCAGACCCAGCAGCGGAGAGCCAGTCCGCAATCGCTTGGCCCAGACATATAGCCACAGTGATGACTTAAACCTTCAGTCAGCCGATCACAGTAAAGAAGCTGGCTAGCTCGATTTTACTATGGTCGGCCATGACGATTTATCTGGATTTCAAGTAAATAAGTTCCTGTGGGCGAGGATGGCGCCTCGTCCTTTTCAGATATACCTCGACGAGAGTGCAGACCTGTGACAAAGTACCATGGATGCTGCGTCCCGCCTGCCCGCTGGCTCTTCCTGTACCTCCTCCATTACGCACATGCTCCCCCCTCTCCAAATGGCGGACTGGCACTATCAATTGATGTGGGGATATCGCCCTAAACCATCGGAAGACAGGGTATGTGACAGGGGTCATAGATTGCTCAAATTTTTCCAGAAAGCATAGTAATGGGCTACCTGTAACCCTTCCCCTTCTTAGTGACTTTCTCAAAAATGTCAACTCTCAGTAGGTCGCCAATACATTATGGTCCCATTCTGTGCTACAGAACCAATCACAACCCGTCCCCACGGGATAGTGGAGCCATAGATTTGGAAATTCCAACAGCACACTCTCTATGGAGTACAATTGCGCATAAGGCTAGGGAAATTTGGTCTATGTCTATTACCAGCATGGTTTGCCTAGTTTGTCGCTGTATGCCTGGCCAAACGTGGGGGAACATGAAAAGACAGCCAGAAATGTACCGAAAAACGCCGCGCAACTAACCGGCAGAAATGCAGGTGAAGTGACGAATTGACACAACCAAAAAGTCATAAATCCGAACACATATATGACATCACCTGGCACCATAACATAAGCAACATGAATCCATTAAGAGTCGAAAATCGGGCCAAACGCTGCAACCCCGCGCGTTTCGAGTTCATACACGATACGGCGCGTTAGCACGGGGTTACTGATCACGCACACCGCTTCGGCCTTGAATTCCGAGAATTGTCGAAGGACGATAGGCACCATGTCAACTCGTCCTAGCCGATCGGTGTCCATAATTATTGGGCAGTCATCCATCCGGCGGACAAGGTCCATCACTCCCTGTCCGTACGTTTCGAGCGGAGCACGAGTCTGCCAAAGGACTCGCAGCGCAGGGCGATTATCATCGCCTAAGAAGGACAGACAGGGGCCGATACCTGATCCTGTGGTCACCACAATCACCCTCTTGAATACCCGCATGGAATATGCAAAGCCATAGAGGAGCACACCCCGCTTCCAGAGATGCGTGGGCGGGTTCTTGATCGTGTCCGCAGTCCAGTCGCCAGCCTTGGACACCAAGCATGAGAAGCTAGGTGTTCCGCGCGTTCCCGCCGGACTAGGGTCGGGAAATGTGGCAAAACCATGCCAATCTAACAGGGGATGTTTGGCGAGTTGAATGCCCTTGCCGAAGGCGGTAACGGCGTGGTCAAGGTGCAGCCGCACCGCATGAGTCGACAGTATCTCCGCACGTACCGGGACCTTCCGCAACATCAACCATGGCTGGACGATAGCAACGGCACTTAGGATCAGGAACCAGAATGCAGGGAGCTCGAGAAGGAACAAACCCATGCTCTGCCCCTGTGCCTGGCTATTTTCATGCGCAAAGACCAATAATAGCGCCACAAACAAGGTTACCACAAGCCATCCCGAGAAACGGTGGGTGAGTTCAAAATAATCATGCCGTTTGATGCGAAACTTCGGAGTAGCCACAACAATAATAGTCAGCAACAGCACGAGGTTGACGTAAGCTAAGGCTACTAGAGCAGCCGAAAAGCTGATGACCATTCCGGCGCCAGGGTAAGGGGCTGCGGACGGGGACGTCCAATATTGATGCGACATGACTCCGATAAACCCTATGTACCAGACAAGTGCTGCGACACCACCGCCGCTATGAACACCACCATAGTGGTATACTTCGGAAACGATGCGGCGCAAAGCAAATGGTGCTGACCGTGGCACAGACAATACAATGCGGAAGATCGCATTGACAACAAGTGGCTGTCGGGCCAAACCGCATGCGAGCAAGTTGGCAGCCGTTGCATTGACCAGAGCGAGGAGTCTCTGGTTGGACAACATCACCCAGATGAACACGCCAGCGTTTGCACAGAAGACTAGCGTGAAGAGACGTCGATACAAAGTGAAGATGGCATACCGGACGAACGCAAACGGCTTCAGGTCAGCACTAACGGTCTGCGCCTCGGAGTCGACGGTATGATGCGAGTCTGGCCCAACGAATACCATCTCCTTGGGGTAAGCTTCTTCGAAAATATCCCTGTTATCGCCATCGGCAAGACTCATCTCATTAGGACTTTTGACGGTGTTCATTATCCTTGTCACCGCGGACTTGAGAATAGGAATAGCGATGGGGGCTTTCTCCAAGTCCGACATGGCATGGAGTTGTTGCAAGTATGCAAAAATGAATTCGAATGACGACTGAATGCGATAATGGGCGAAGAGTTGTCAGTTTGACTGGGGTCAGACCTGTGGACGTTCACAAGCGGACCACCGTGTGGATCATGAGAAGGCAGGCAAGGACGGGAAACAAAGAACGAGTGAAGTCCGCTACCCAGCCCGTTGCTGTGCTAATGGGCAAGTGCAGAAGTAGGTGGAAACTGGAGACGACGTCCAGACGTGGTACCCAGCGCATGAGCTGAGAAGGTTGTGGGATGGCTATGAGAAAATGTATTCCAGGGCCCTAATGCTTCGCTTCCTTTTATCCTGTTGGTTCGGCCGCCTCGATCATAACCTTGGCCAATTCCTTCGTTCCGCTTCGTTCTACGTCCTTAGTCCCTTCAGACCCCCCCAACAACGTCCTTTGATTTCAATTACTCCTGGCCCACAGACAGAAAGATCAATATGTGGTCCTTGGATGCCACTGGATGACCCTTTCATGTTGGACAGGACAACTATGTTAATGGTCTTTTGCCCTGCGGATTGTTCATCCTGGCCTACATCGCGGATCATCTAGTGTAAATGAACCTTTGCTAATGAATGCGTATGCTGGACCTCCTTGAATGGTATTTCAGCTCACCCTTCACCACCGGACGACCGGATGAACGGTCCTGATGTCCGAGGGGTCATGACGCGACCCGCTGTGTCTGAGATGGTGTCGAATGTGGGCAAAATCATAGAAAAGTACAAGATATAGGGGATAGATAGACGGGAATTGGATAGATACCATATCAAGGAAGGCCTATCATTCGCCCAACGAAATGTAATACAACCCAATCACGACTCTTACTCCAACGGATCGTTCGCCGAGACCCAGGCCGCAACGAACATCTGGCTTCATTGTCATGCAATTTGCCACCGGTCTCAGCTTTATCTAAGCAATCATTCACTTAGTGGAATTTCATCATAGTTTATTGGCGGCAGACTTCTCAACTGTTTGAAAACGAAGAAGGAGAAGAAGTAATTCCCCAATGGGGCAGCTCTTCCGTGGCAACAGATAAAGAGTGGAGAGCTGTGAGCCACGCCAGAGCTCCACCCCCTCGAGAGGTTGATTCATGACTAAACTTTAGTAAGATTAGTATTGGAAGTCTAATTCTGGCGTTTACGCCTGATCTGATATTTTTGCATTACTGTTCCAATATTGCTTGTCGCGCGATACTGCGCATAGAATTTTTGCAAATTGCGAAGACCTTGGGCAGAGTCCAGAAAGTATAGAGAGGTCGACCAGTCAAGAAAAAGCGGTGCTGAAAGCTCCTCCATAAAGCTGATTGGCTGGGATCTTTTGGAAGACCAGAGATTCCCCGCGACCCGCATAAGTCAACACGACAAAGCGAGCCGAATTGGTATAGGCTAGTATGCATAGGACGAATAAGAACTATCGGAGTCATCCAATAAAAGAAGACTAATTGAAGAAAGGAAAGGGTTTCAGACGAAAGGAATTTTATGGATTGGAAATGTACTAGGTTAATCCAATGTCTTTGTAATCAACCTCTCCACTTTCCACGACTGTAATCCAAAAGTCACCCACCACCAAATCTGTCCCAGGATCGCGCTTGCTTCAAAAATCAATTTGTTTCAAATTGTGTCCATTTTAGATTTGACTCCATTATCGCATCAATGGCTAATATAAAACCCAACGGCAGGGATCCCTCTTTGTTGATATCGCACTGTGCTTGGCGCTGGCTTCCTTTCAAACCAGTTATATCCTTCTTCTTACGGCAACTACCTCTTTTCCACATATCTAAGACCTGTTTCAGTGACCTTCTGAATCTGCCTCATCAAAGTGGGTTATTGGAATTCCAACATGTCTGTTGAAGCCACTGCGACCGCAGATCCTTTCCTGCATCAAGATTTATATACGGATCTTTTGACCTTTGCATTTTGCGGTTCGACGCCTTATTGTCAGAATCAACCTTTATTTATCGATGCCGAAGATCCTTCTCGATTTTTTAATGCGACACAATTCCGAAGATTAGTCCGAACTTTAATTGCTGGTTTTAAGGCCCATAATGTGCGCCAGGGAGACTGTGTCTTGCTGCATTTAGGTAACAGTGTCAGTGAGACAGAACACCTTTCCAGTCATTCAGACTGGCCGAGAAGCAGAAAGTTACAATGAGAATGTTATGCAATGCTAACTAGACCTTGTTCTATGTTCCACAGATCTTGTATCCTGGACTCTTCTTCGGTATCATCGGCGCCGGCGGTGTGTACATGGGCTCGAACCCTCGCAGCCCGCAACATGAATTAGATCATATCGTGGGCCTTGCCGAACCCAAACTGATTTTAACAACTCGCGACGCATTGGAAACCGTTCAGGAGGTTACCACAGCCCGTGGAATCTCTCCAGAGCAGATATTTATTGTCGATGACCGTGCCGTCGACCATTGTGCCCAATTGTTCTTGTGGTCCGAACTAGGATATTCTGCCGGCCCAGATTTCTTCACCAATGCCGGCGGTAATAGTGGGCGACATTTCAATTTTGTCGATATACTTTGCTATGGTGAAAATAACTGGGTGCTGTTCACGGATCCCATGGCGGCGCAGAACACTCCAGCAGCCATGTTCTCGACTTCTGGGACAGGAGGTCTACCTAAGGCGGCCATTCTGTCTCACCATGCCATCGTGTCGCATCATCGATCAATTCATTATGCCGTGCCTTACCCCGTCAGCCGCTTGATGTCCCTTCCCATGTTTCATCTCTTTGGCGCATTATGGACTCATCTTTTCCCCGTGCGCTATGGCTATCCTCTCTTCGTTCTGTCACGTTTTGAGACAAAGCAATTTCTGGCCATAGTGCTGCGATTCCAGATTTCTGAGACCTACCTAGTCCCGGCGATTGTTCACACTATCAACCGCTGCACGTTGCCAGTCTCTGATTATCTTGCATCACTGCGCTATGTAGGCGTCGCGGGAGCTCCAATCGACGGTGCGTCAATTGTGCAATTCCGAAGCCGTCTCCACTCATTGGCATATGCATGCCAGCTGTGGGGTATGACTGAGGTCGGGGTTGCTTTCCAAGCCCGCTATGGTCAGCATGGAGATCCCGGCAGTATTGGGACTTGTTTGGAAGGATATGAGGTTCGCCTGGTCGATCAGGATCGCAAAATTGTACAGAATGATGAATGTGCGGGCGAACTGTACGTGCGGGGTCCCGGCTTGCTCTTAGCATACAAGGGCCGCACGGATGCAAAGGAAGCACAAGGTTGGTACCGTACCGGCGATGTCGCCTTCATGAAGCAAGGCGATTACTTTATCGTTGGACGGACCAAGGAACTTATCAAAGTGCGAGGGTGAGTTTGAGCTATTAATGTGGGATATACTGCTCCGGTACACTAATTATCTCTACAGATGGCAAGTTGCCCCTGCTGAAGTCGAGGGCGTCCTCCTTCAGCACATTGGAATTACCGATGTAGCTGTCATAGGCGTGGAGTTGAAGGATGGCAGTGGTGAAGTTCCACGAGCATATGTGGTGCGATCGCGCGATCCATCCGTGACGCAGTTGACGGCGGAAGAAGTATATAATTACGCCCGTCAACGTCTGGTGAGTTACAAGTCGCTGGATGGAGGTGTGATCTTCGTGGAGGAGATTCCCCGAACGGCAAGTGGCAAGATTCAGCGATTTAAGCTCTCACAGATGAATGAATACCGAGAGATGGTCACGTCTCTAGTCCAACGCTTTGAAACAGGAGGAACCTTGGAGGTTGGTGGAAAAGCTATGGTATCCACCAATTGAATTCAAATTCAATGACGACGGTATACCATACCTTGCCATGGCAGTCACACAGTGTACAAATGAAGGTCCATTGGAAGCGCAGTATCTCCTACATATTGGTCCACCTGGCTCTACTAGGTGGGCTAATACTCAGTTATGTGGATTGGTAAACCAGTAGAAGGGGGCAAATTTTTTTTAAATATCATTTCAAAACGATCAAAATAGACCGTGAAAGGGATAACGTATGGACCCATCTCGGGCCACGATATCGCTGGAAAGAATTTTGGAATCGCCGCCCATCATGGACCACCCAATAGCCACCATGGAAGACCCAGCGCCCATCGTGAACGCGCAATCACGAAGGAAGCGGAGGCGTATTAATAACCAGTAACGCAGCGGAACCTACGCCTGCGACGAAGAAGATGACAGAGAATGTTTGGCTATAGTAGGAATTGAAATTACTACTGTCAGCGATGTACGTACTTAATAGTTGTAGATAGTTTGAATTGATTATTATCCTTAATTATATAAGTCATTTATGATGGAAGAGCATTAAATGATGATGGAAGAGCATTTGATTAACCCTAAGAACTCTCCTTCCCTCCGCGCAATGAAATATTGGGACTAAGCATCGTCATGCATTCACCGTTACTTGGCTTGGTTTAATTTTCTTCGTGACATCATGGCACGCGGTTGATGTGAACGTGAAAAGGGCCGCACTCTGACCGTGGCGAGAGTCGTTGGGCTTGGCAATAAATTCTTTCTCGTTGAGAATTTGGCAAATATTCCACCATGTCAATGTATTAGTAGAATTGTCCAATATAATAGTCAAGAATGCGCTTTACTACAACGGAGTCTAACATCTCCTCACGCATATTCGTTGCGTCGTCAGATTTGGCTGCAAAAGGTGTGTTTTGAATGAAATACTCCTTGTCGCCAACTCTGTTCGGAGAGGATTGTCCTGGCATAGAGCCTTGGGATGCAAACTACGCAAATAAGAGTCTACGATTTGTATGCATACTATGTGCCTGGATGAAGACAGAATACCCATTAAAAGCTACATCACAATGCCCAAGAGTCAGTCTTTCATGCAGTTTACAGCCACACTGTCAGCAACATCTCCCCTTGTTCTCGCCAACATGGAATTTTTCGTTCTGAATGTCAATTACCCTATGGCTCTCTCGGACGGAAGTTTCGGCAGATTTGGCTTCATTGATTGCGCGTGTGGAGGTGATGCGATAAATGTATTTAAGAAAGTTAACTTTCAATGAGTCTTTAAACAAGGGTTGCAGCCAAGTACCTACCAGTAAGAACTTTAGAAAAGGTGACATCCACATTACTGCAGTCTAATGCTGAGGTTTCAATAAAGGAAAGGTTATTATTGCCTATGATACTTAGCCATCTGGTTCTTCCCTTTTGTCGTGGGAAAGATGATGGAATGAAGAACAACGTACTGGCAAATATTTTGGCCTCCTCGGTCGATACAGCCCTCTGATTACCCAGATCATTTTTGTTGCCCACTAGCATGGTAATGATGTTGGAGCTCGAACGGTCCCGGAGCTCGTGCAACCACCGACCAACATTTTCGTATGTCTGCCGCTTGCTGATATCGTAAACGAGGAGCGCACCCACACCGCCGCGATAGTACGCATTGGTAATTGCCCTATAGCGTTCCTGCCCAGCGGTATCCCAAATCTGAGCTTTGACTTTCACATTATCGACATGCATAGAGCGTGTTCCAAATTCGACGCCGATGGTAGTCTTGGAGTCGGGCTTAAATTCGTTCTGTGTGAATCGCCATAAGAGGTTGGATTTGCCGACGCCAGGGTCTCCGATAAGCACCACTGCCGTACAAGATATCTCATAATAGTCAGTCGCCATTAAAACGAGATACAATAGTACAGCGAAGGGGTAACAATATAGTCGGGGTAAGTATACCAAGGTTACTGACATTTGAAGATAATCTACAAATCACTCGTGTTAGGGAGTGATTAAAGTAACCAGAGAAATATCGTCGTTAGGGCTTACGTCGTACTCATCTTCTGCCATGATCACACAATACAACCAGAGCTCGCGGATTGATGAGATCAGTCGATGGTGCCAAAGCGTAGGCGGCGTGGGAGAGGAGACCGAGTCGTGAGATACAGATGCTTGCTTTGAGAAGAAGACGGGGAAGGGGCCAATGCCAAAAAAAAACTAGTTTAAATGGATTAAATGGTGGTTGTCACTGTCATCATGCCAGTTGCCACAAGAGTCGGCAGTCACATCAGTGCTATAGCTCTAGCAGAATCAACAATGGATTACTCACAACCAGTCTGTGATATTTATCTTCTGGACGCAAAGTTTTGCATACCACGTGTAATATTGCTATTGGGCAAAAATAAATCCCTATTTGGGAAATTGAGTCGCGTCACGGCCTGGCACCCGCCGAGCGCTGCCAACGCCACACACCAAGCGTTTATTATGTATTTGATAAAATGGGAAGTATATTTATATGTATTTGACTAAATACTGATTGGGGTGCCTTCAGTTTCTCTGATTTTATGGTAGCCTGCTCTTTAACCTCGGCGCAGTATCCATGGGACCCACCAGCGAGAGAGCGCACGCCCTCTTACTTACGAGGTCGTGAATGGGTTGTCTTCCACCCTGAGGCGGCAGGTCATTGAGGAAATATTCAAGACATTTTTTATGTAGATCATGGCCACGCTTGAATTTGCCCTTCGCGACTAGTATTTCGTCGCCTCAATCCAGCTTCGCGAATAGTGTATAATCGTGATATGCCGCTGAAATGGCAAGCGATGAGGGTTTCAATTTTGTTATATTTGAAATAAGTAACCACTGACTAGCAAAAACTATCATTACTGGTGCCTAGTATAGCCTCACCTTTAATGTCGAACGCTAATGCGAAATCCTTTGCTCAGTCTCTTGTCTTACCGCGAGGGGGGGGGGCACGGGTATTAAAATGGTGAGTTCAGATGTTGAACTGACATCAAGTAGCTATACCAGTGGAAGAACGCTACTACCTTAGGACGTAGAAAAAAGCCGAAGTTATTCCCATTGTTGGAGCTTCGATTGTTTAGTCTGATTGGAAGGAGAATTCCGCATTTGTATCATACGGGTTTCAAATATTCTGGAATCTCGTTCATTTTGACCATGGGGAAGCCTAGTCGGTCAAAAACGTTTCATCTCAGTACTCATTGACCAAAAATGAACCCGGCAAGCGAGTGAGAATCTCAACCAGATCAATAATAACGACTAGGATGATTCAATTTTATGGACTGCTGCGCCATCTCTTTCGGCTTGGGGAGAGACGAAGGAAAGACATGAACATGGGTTCTAGGCCTAGGGATCAGATTGAGGCTAGTAGTGAGAATGAGGATGAGAACAAAGATGAAGTTCCATTGCCCAGAGAAGACTGTACGCTGTGGCGTGTTTTTGGCCGGGTTCTAATGCCATCCATACGGCTCCAAGTGTATTTAGTATAAGAGTAGTAGACCAGTTTATAATCAGGCAACCAGAAACCGGATTAACCTTACCTACTTTTGCCACTTCATATTTATTAAAGCTACTGATATATTCAAATTGAGGGTACGCAATTTAAGCAGTTTACGGGGCTTCTATTTTCGTTTATTTTTGAGCCATTGGGCCAATGTGCCGTGCCGGGGTTTATGCCTGAATAGCTTAAAGGACCAGGCAAAGGAACCGATCTAGACCGCACTGCGTTTGCGATTCTAATACAAGTCCCTGCATTAATATCTTCTCCACTTTCAAACTTTCCATCTGATTCATAAATATCGTTGTCTAATGTATAGCGACACTTTGCAGTGAGTTGTGTTTGTTGATCAGACTGGGCCTCCTGTTTGCGGGATAGGCCTTCTCGCCATCTGGAGCATCGCTCGGCTTTCGCTTGAAATCTACCAAAGCGAGAAGCATTCCGGCACTGCTTACTCAACGTGCGGATCCCATCCCCATTTCCCATGATGAGTTTAGTTTCTGTTCGCAGACGGGCAGGAGCTTCATTTGTGATAGAAACCCAATAAGCCAGTGGGTTGTCTCTTGGAAGTTATTTTACCAATCCTCCGAGAGTAGTTATGACTCGCTACCCGATAAGCAATTTATAATACAAGGCTTCGTTGAGCTCATAAATCAATTCAAGAATGTGCAGACTAAGTACGGAGTGGACCCTGCGGCTCCCAGCCGGGCCCGAATACACGGTACCTAACCTAATTGAGGAAGTACTTTCAGCCAATGGTAGATACCCGGTTACCACACTTCGCCTGCATGCATTATCCACTAAATAATAGCTCCACCCTGACAGGCGGCTCCCAGCCGGGCCCGAATACACGGTACCTAACCTAATTGAGGAAGTACTTTCAGCCAATGGTAGATACCCGGTTACCCCACTTCGCCTGCATGCATTATCCACTAAGTAATAGCTCCACCCTGACAGGCGGCTCCCAGCCGGGCCCGAATACACGGAACTTAACCTAATTGAGGAAGTACTTTCAGCCAGTGGTCGATACCCGCTTATCCAACTTCGCCTGCCTGCCTTCTCCACTTGAACAATAGCTCCACTCAAACTCAGAGGCTTCTGCCCATTCTCCCATTACGGGGCATCATGTTCTTGCTAGCATGGCCGGTAAACATTCTGTGGATTTCCCCTTCTTTTCTTACAAAAGTCTCCTTGCGAACGTAGCGAGGTTTCCTGTCTCTTACATCAAAATTTTCTGAATCACATGACTGCGAAAGACCGCAAACAACTTCCTTCACCTTTTCTGCCCCACCCATTTAAATCTCTTTATTTAACATTGAAAGCGAGTAACTTTGTGAATTGGCGCATTTCCCTCTGCAATTTTCCAAATCATCATAATCTACCCGCAAACTTCCCAGGCAAGCGGCCCTTTCTGTAAATCCGTCAATGTCTTCCAAGTTGGGTTGAGCATTGCGTGACCCTAGGATCATGGAGTTTCCACAAGTAACGTCCAAAGCCAAAGCAGCCCAGCGGTAGGTCAACTCAGCTTTCAGAGTACCAGCGATATTCGCAACCTTCCCTTTTGACCGGAGTGTACCGGTAAGACTAGGCGGCCTCTACATAGAAATACATATGGCACCGATGACATCGTTAGAAATGCAACGTCAAGGTCACTCTGGCCCTGAAGTAAATATTTGCTCATGACGCTGCCTGCTATCGGCAAATAGGAGTATTTAGAAATTTTATGCCGATGAGAGTAATTTAGTTTTAACGTGCTAGGAGAAAGCGTTATGAATTTCTTGATGAACGCTGGGAAGAAGATAGCTATGTTTCTTCGCGATGCTTATAATTTCTTCAACCTCGTCAAAAAGAAAGTTCGGGGGATCCAGTTCCTTGGAATTTTCAGCGTCATAGAACGTGTTCGTTTTATCGCATAGCTCTTTCAGCACTCAACTTTGCGGAACATAGATGTGGTGTTCATTCTTCCAACATCTCTAATGGGAATAATGGCAATAATGATACAACCTTCTATGTAGCGGTAGTGGGAAACATAGAATTAACATGGTCAATTTTCGACTAATGAAGGCTCTCTGCACGTGCAATGAAGTCGTAATTTGTGAGTAGTTGGGAATAAAAGCCACGAGGCTACTTAGTATCAATACAAAAGCCGAGGCCAGACGCGCCTGCTACTCCAAGGAGGTTCTAATTGTGGATGTGCATAAATTCCCGACAATGATCATGACACTATTCTTTGCAGGATACTCAATGCATGGGCTGTCTCTAAGGTGGAGATCAATTCGGTACCAAGGCCCCCACAGGATGCGCCTTCGAAGATGAGCCCATACCTCAATGAGGCCATGGCGAGAGTCATTGTAGCAACGCCGAGGCTGATTTATCTTCTGGAAGGTGAGGTATAGTACAGCTTTAAAGTAAATGAGGTCAATTATTAGGCTCTGCTATTAATGTCTTACAGTTCTCTTTATCTTTGCACTAAAAGCACTGGAGTAAATAGAATATTTCTCTGGTGTTTTCCAGTAAGCCACACGTCACATTCCGGCCACTGTAGCGAGTTCAGCTTGGCCATTATCAATCTCGGGATTCCCACTCATTTTGGCCCGCGAGGTAGTCCATGGTCACCTCGAATAAGCTCTGGAAAGCAGCCCAATTGGAATGAGAGATTCACAGGCAAGGCCTCACAAAACCTGTCCATGCAGTGAAAATGCTGAGTATTCTGGCACTTGTGACCATGCCTCTATTGCATAATCTCAGATGCTGTCACATTACTCAGGGCTATATTGCCCAGTTGAACGCTTAGATCGGCCTCACGGGCCAAGTTCAACAATATAAACAACAAGGAAGAGCCTGTCTATCTCCTTGGCGGATGCAATGTATGTGGACAAGCAAGCACAACATTTGCCGGATTGCATGGAATTATTTGCTGTCCGACTTTATGTTACGCTCGGATTTGTTCTGCTAAATCGTTCACTAGATGCCGGCGATGAAATATTTGACTTCCAGACAGAACCGATTATGCCTTGAGTACCGAAGTGACGGGTCGATTCGGGGTCTTATTATCAGAGATTGAAGTTCGTGTTGAGATCCCGTCGCTTTTCGGCGTCTTGTTATCCAATCAGCATGCGGCCGTGCGCCCAACTCCCTAGCCCGGCTCCCACAAGATTCCCGACCGCAGCTAAAAAGTCAAGTCTCAGGGTCCTAAGCGACCCCGTGCATCAGGGAAATTCTCATTTAAAGGACATACCGAAATTTGAATTACCTAGTCGAGCAGTTACCGTCCAATACAGCCGAATCTATATTCTTTTTGCATGGTCTAGATGACTCCAAAGAAGCGATCATACTCTCTGTGCGCCAATCTACCTGTCCAGCATGCTTAGCACATTCTCTGTGATTTACGGCTAAACCTCCCTAGTACCGGCCGGTGCAGTCGATTTTACCTCCGACCCCACTTCAGCCTATCCTGTGAGGCTAATTAGTCCATTTTAGGTGAATTTGTCTCCACTTTCTGCTGTCCATATTCCCCTTTGGGACATTGCGGATGACTCGCAGGTATTATCATGGGAAAATGAACCGTTAAGTTCTCACAGTTCTACAGTATGCCTAATTGTTGTCTCAAGTCCCTGAACCCCCGGGAGCCGTGATATAAAAGGACCCCCTCTTTGCCACACAGTCAGGTAAAACAGATCTTGAACAGCCACTACTGGACCGTCAACTCACTTTATATCCACAACTCCCAGTCTGTAACTTGGAATGGAGGACTATTCACAATGGTGCTCGCAGGGCCCCAACGCCTTGGCAATCACCTCTGTCCCGTCTATCAGGAAAGATAACATGTTTCAGCTGGAGCTGATGAATGGCATGGTACGTTTTCTTAATCTCTTAATGGACATGCCACTCATTACAGTATTTCAGGATAATCTTGGATCTTACCAGGAAATTGACATGAGCGTGACACTCCAAACCATGCCCATAACCTCACCAGTCTCGCCCTCTGAACCCGATTCGAATTCTCCACCGGGCAGTCAAAGCTCCGCCCTCAAAGTCACAGATCTAGAGACTCAATGCAGATTACATAATGTACGTATGTCCGTAGTCCTATCATACCGTTCTCGGCACCAAACTCAAGAGATCGTATGTTCAGCGCCGCAGACAGAACCGGGAAGCCCAGCGCCGGTTTCGCCAACGCAAAGAGGACACCAAAGAAATCCTCGATCAGAAGATTAAATACCTAGAATCTAAATGCAAAGAGCTATTAGCCGAGCTCCAGCAGACTTCAGAGACTGTGGCTCAGCTCCAGAAGGACAAGGAGGCATTGCAGTGTCAGATCCAAGATCCGCTTCAGCTAAAGGGAATCATTGTCCACCTCACGCAACAACTGAAGGTTCTCCAGACTCTATCGAGCGTAGCCACGCACCTTACCATGAGCATTACTCCGCCGTCGTTTAACGCATCTCCGGGATCTCCAAAAACCAATACCAGTGCTGCAAACGAGGCTTCGATTATGGGATGTCTGAATGCCTTGTTATCCACCCTAAAAGACAATCCGCCCAGCCCTAAATGATTCTTGAATTAGATTTTGAATTACGAGACGGTGCTTCTTTTTTTTGCTTTATTTGATCCTTTGCATAAAAGTAAATGTATGTTTGGCAAAGCTCTGGTTCTTTGTTATCTTGATTCAGATCTGTCAGTGCTCTTTAAAGGTGTCTGCTATGGTTTCCATAGATAATTAAATAAATTTTGTACAAAACACGTGAAATACATCTAAGACAGGCTAAGGTGTATCTCATCGGAGCGACTCCATACTGCAAAAGCAGATCGGTCTTGATTCGTCATTCAAGCGAGACGGCTGGACCTGTACCGTTACAAAGCTAGTTAGCGTTGCGCAGGGACCTCTGGTTGAGCATCGTTTATTAGACTAATTTCAACTTCTTGCAGACGGTAAGTACCCGCTCCAATTGATCGCTAGTGTGAGAGAACACTTAAATCAAGATGAGGGCTGATGAATTCCAAATACTTCTTCTCCGGGGCTGTCCTGCGTTTCCAGATCCCATTTCTTGGCGGTCGCTGATGGTGATTGCCAGGGTTCTGAGGCTGGACCACATCACTTTATACCCAGCTTACTGTGATCAAATGAAACAGCAACTCTTTCCATGGTTCTTCGAAATCGAGCGCATATTTTAATTGAATCTGAAGGAAAGAACAATTTCACTCCGTGCTAGGAGGACTCGTATGAATCTCCACAGTTGTTTCAAATGACCAGGTCATCTCCTGATCGGTAGTATTGAGGTCGGATTTTTTGTTTTTATCATAAAAAAGTCTTTTACTTGAAAATAGGCACGGCGAGCTGAACGAGGTGTTTATAGTAGGTCTTTATCTCCGAACACACCCACGCATACTGGGTCAGGGGTTTCGAACCCTTCGGGCCGACGACGTGAAGGGCAAGCTAACTTCCAATCACGTTGAAATAAAAATGACTAAGGCGACGTGCGTGCCGTGCCACAGGCCGTCTTTCTCTACGATCACATAAGCAGAGTTAGCGGTCATGCACGATGGTTCTCGTGGCAGGTGGCCGAAACAAGCAGCCGGTATTGTGCTTGCGAGCCCTGCCAAAGCCAGAACCATACAAAGGAACTCATCTGAGATGGAAATGTCATATTTTTAGGGCAGGACCTTGTGGCAGCGCATGGGCGAACAGGTTCACCACGTGTGGCATCCATGCGAAGTCGTAGCCTATAACTATCTCATTGCGCGTTTCCAGAAAACTGGCCCAGCATTACGCCTGGATCATCAGATTTGACTGACGAGATTAAAATGGCCTCATAGTTGAGATCACTGTCGCTTGCTTTGATAAAACTGTGCTCGCGTCACCAGATCAAGATATCCGATAGCCCTCTGCGTGACATTGATACCACTGAGGGATTGAAAGAAAAGTTGGCCATGAAATGGGGGCTCGATTCTCGATTAAGTCTTCCCATCTAGTGTTAGGAAACTCACTCTGGCGGAAGCATGCCCTATAAATGCGGGATGTATTGAGATAACGGCTGCCATATCTAGGATTCAGGCCATGAAGCGTCTCTTCACCTAAGCGTAGGAACTACTAACAAATGACCAAAAATTTGAACATTCCATCTACTGGTAATTCCTAACAGAGTATCCCAGTTTCCCCTGTGACCGTGTTTGACTGACCAGAATTAATCCCGGCTTATCAGGACTTCAAGAAATGACCACCACTGGTTTGCTTTGGCGATTTTCTCACGATCACACGTCGGAGAGCAATAATATCCCTTGGCTAGAGAACAAAACAGTGAGCCAGCTGAGATCCATCGGGAATGGATTGATCACTGCGCCAGGTGTTCTTTCCACAGCGTCCACAGGTCGGCTTCTCCGATATCAAGGAATTAGGCGTAGCCAGTCAAACTCCGTTCTCACCGATTAACACGCAGAAAATATGCGATGCAATCAAACGCGCTCTACCTGATAAAGCGCCTAGATTTCCAAACCTGATTCAGCAATAACTTACCAGAAGGTGGCGAATTCAGGTCTCCGATAATAGCTGGACTACCTGAGATATTGGCCTACGTCCGCTAGCAAAGGTCTTTATACCATTTCTGGCGCAGTCCATGAGGTTCGTAAGCTATAACGAGCGGCTTATCTACTGCGCCATGCTTGGCGCGGAAGTCAAACTTTTGTGCAAGATAAATAAAATCTTTTCGCCAGTGCGACTCAAGTATGCTGTAACATCCCCTCGCCAGCACTATGCATATTATAGCCCGTCGTTATATATTGGTGGCACCAGCGACAAAGATAAGTTTTCTGACGGAAATCCCGGCCGCTCTTTGTATGCCTGAGGGACAAGCGATTCAATAACTTTGTTTGGGGAGCTTAGGAAGTCAAAAAAAAGCATGATGGATTATGTAAAGACTGGCGGGATAGCCACCCAAGTCACAAATCCGTAGATGTTTCCAGATTTGTCACCGGCACTGAAATACCAACGGTCGATGGTCACGTTATGGATAGTTTTTGATAGATGCACTTGCATACCCTTGCCATTGATTAGATTATCAATCTTCAGTCAGCTTGTCAAACTTTTCGCAAACCCTATCGAGCCGCTTTTCACTCGGCTTCCGGGCTACGAACTTGATCGTCCCATTAGCATGCCGTAGCTTGCGCGAAAGCTCCGCATCCATGACTTCTCTGGTCTGAAAGATTTCAACGTTTGCTCGGCGATACGGAACAGACAGTTCTAGCCGAACCTCATCCCAAGTACGGTCTCGACTTGTGGATAGCAATGAATTCGGACTATTTTATATCTCGTTTCGCGACGTAGCCATTACGGATATCGGGTAATTATTTGAGCGTATTGCGTCTCATCACATAGAAAATTATAGTAATGTTACTTCATTACTACTGATGATAGTAATTATATAATATTCCAGTGCCAGTGGCCATACCACGCCGGGCCCTCCCCTCAACAGCTCATTGTCTCAGAACGTGTGAGCGATTAGATGTTCCACATTTCGTAGCCTCTCCGCGTCAAGAGCCACAACTCTTGTTTTTTCTCGCTACCACGGTGGATTGAGTACTCTGGTTAAGGGTCTCATATCCTCAACGCGAGCAGAAACTTACGCTCAAAGACGTCCTTTATAGCCAGGAAATCGTGAATGGGTAACTCCTATCGAAGCAATTTGCGCAGATGGCTATCCGCTGCTGCCATGCGTAGTCTTAAGGGTAAGATGGCTATAAGACACCACAAGCAAACAACGATTTCATCGATAGTGTTGTACGAGAATTTGTCGCCTGTATGTGAGCATTATATGACGCCTATCACTTCGATACCTCGATCCCTGTCACACTTCGCAAGCGTGTACCACCCGATTTCCGCAAGCCGAAGGCTTATCGAACCGTAACTCTTCTCAACTACCTTGGCAAGATCCTCAATTCCATTGTCACCACACGGTTTTCATAGGCTATCAAGCAACGTAAGTTATGGCTTAGGACTCATCTCGGTAGAAAGAAAGAGATTTCTGTGGACAATATCATTCAGCCATCCCTCATTGCGTGTACCATATGTGGGGTGAAGGTAAGAAGGCATCATTACTATTGCTTGACCAAGCGGACAAATACGACGGTAGCTCCCACAAGGCTGCTATCCAATACACTGAAGCTTCGGCTTGGATGGTTTGCACCGTGGGTCCAACCTTTCCTTACAGGGAGTACTATACGACTCAGAATTTCAGACTTCTTCACCGACGAATCATCAACTCCTTCAGGGTTCCTCAAGTTTCGCGTTTCTGTGCTATGATTTTCTTGCTACTGTACAGTAAACTCCCGTTTTCGGCACGGCCCTCCGTGCAACAGAATCTTGGTATGCTTAAAGAAAGTGCGCCGATTAACATTGCGCTAATACTAAACAGGTAACCTCTAGTATGCTTTTGGTCCAAAGTAGTCACCCATTGTCATCTGCCCCTCCCATCTATCTGTAGCCGAGAAAATAGATGACCTATCTCTCTCTATCCCTTAAATCTCTCTTAATAATACTCTCTTGGTGCTGAGCAAATTGAAGAACCTTATCCATATATTTAATAGCTTAAACAACGCGTGATGGTTGTTCAGTGATAGTCCGGATATATATTTGACCTGATTATCCTCAGCATCCTACATATCACCACTAACACCACTTGCGTTGACTTCTGAAAATCAATGATAATACAGTCAACTCCCGCTTACAGCACGACCAGAACTAGCACACATCGGGTTATGGCACTGGATTTTCGTGGACTAACCCACTTTTCCCCTTTTTCCCATATAAATAGACCACTTAGGGCACATCTCGGTTATAGCACACAATTTTTCTCTCCGATATTTGCTTAGTCATATGATCCGACCAATCACATTGCAAAAGTCAGTCGCCCTTTCGGCCAAGATGCCTACTATAAGGCGAACTAGGAAGGGCATATCTGACGCTCAGAGACAGGCTCTACGTGTCTACGCATCCGGAACACACCCTACACCTTCTCAGCAAGCCTGCGTTGAGTGATTTCGGTCCCAGTTTGGTCGCCTTATTGATCGGGCTACTGTCTCAAAGATCCTTTCATCCAAATACCAGCATCTTGATGCTAGCCCAGCTGGTCTAAAAATGCGCTCATCTACATCGCATTGGCCTATATTAGACCAAGCTCTCTTTGAATGGCAGCACCGGCATCAGGATGCCGGCTTTCCTATAACAGGCCCGCTACTTCGGCTTAAAGTTATCGAGTATTGGATAGGTAGCGATACACCTACAGTCATGTCATTGGATAACTTCCTTATTATGAATTGATGTACATCGATCAATATATCCAAATTAGTCATTCAATCACAATAAGCACAATTGACTTATGGCACGTGAATTCTGTTAGATCGTGGGGTAAGCCATAAGCGGGAGTTGACTGTACCAGATAGATCATATTGTTGGATGTCAAAGTCCTCACCTAGAGAGTCTAGAAATTCCTCTAATTCCATAACCTCCCTACCAGACAGCCGGTCGGTTACCTGTGTGTATCAATCCCACAGTTGAAGATCTTCAGATTGAGACATAGTTATCCATGTTATGAGGGCTAGGACTTATGACCGTGCTCTTAATAAAGCACTTCCGAACTCTCTCATCTAGAACGTCGCGGCTCCAGGTCAGGGTGATTCAATGTAGCGTGTAATAGAGGCTCATTCTCTGCGTGGGGTCGATACCCCTGTCCATCTTATTAACCATCCATATCATGCATTTCTTCCGAGAATGGTGCTTAAGGTTTCGGATAATACTCTGGCCTAATGGCTGGTAAATCGGGTTCGAATTTGATGGCAAAAAGACGACTTTGATATTAGATGACGGCGGCGTATATTCAAGCGCAGAGAGATGAGTACTAAGGTTATCGAGTCATGGAGCGACTCAACTTTGTGTCCCGATATGCCTATAGAATGAGTGGAGTCGCTTTTGCATAATATCGCCGCTAGACCACGGCAGGAATCGCGACTCTCCAGGTTCGATTCGACTCGGGACCGCCAAGACTCAGGTTCAGGTTCCAGATTTTTGGAGTCGCGATCCGACTCCAACTTTTTTAGAGTCGAACCTCCAGGTTCGATTCGGAACCTCAGGTTCCTCAAACAGAGCAAACATGATTTATGAAAAATACCACGTGTTCTAGACACGTTTCGGATAGTATTATATAGTCTATGTCAGGTAGATATTGTTATATGATAAAGCTATATAATGATGTAGTGAATATATGATATGTCCGTTTCGTCCGGTTAGATTGTTTCCAGGTTTGTAGCGTAATTAATTAGCGGAGTTTATAGTGGAAAAATTGCGGTGAAGCCTGTATGGTCGAAGATATATATTCATGTCGACTACTACTACGACTTTACCATGACTAACGGTCGCATTTTTTTTCAAATATTAATGTCTACCGTAGACCTATCAATACTTCACGTAGAAAACTAATATTTCTTAACATATAGTGATATCTAGTAGTGTATACTAACCTATAACGTATAACAGGGGAATATTACGCATAATTACTAAGAGAATTATCCATCTAAAATAGGAAAGTCCTTGGCAAAATTATGCAAATCAGGTTCCTGCAGGTGCGAATCGAATCGAACCTGAGGTTCCCAGGTTCGACTCGAGGTTCCAATAGTTAGAACCTGGGAACCTCCAGGTTCGACTCCAGGTACGGATTATTGGAACCTGAGTCGGACCACGCCGAGGTCTAATCGCCGCACATCCATGCGTTCTTATTCCATCTATAGACGCATACAATTGATGAGATAATGAGTTTTCATAGAGAGCGATGCGTCTTTGCAGTGCTTATAAACCAGAGAGCCATTTGATCTGAACCAGTAGTTTTTTTCCTTACTGCGAGAGCAATTCTAGTCTTGTCTTTGTTATATCCAGGACTACCCTTGCTTGATAGACCTGATAGACCACCTGTAGGCAATCGACCCCAGAAAAGACCTGTTTCATCCATATTATAGAAATAATTAGGCTGATACTGGTAGCAGAGAGCCCAAATAGTTAGACCTCGGCAGAGTCTGTTCATCGATGCCCCCTTAGTGTCCAAAGTCTAATTGCGCTAAGTTCAGTCCAGCCCAGCCCGCACACGCCAAGTCCCAAAACTGTCCAACTCTGCCCATTGTGCATAAAACAGTATAGAAATATGGTTATTCAGCAAAAGTTAAGCGTATCTATGTATATATATCCCGTATGGGCGTGTTTGGGCGAGCAAGTTTGGGGCGCGGACACCTCTTTATCCTGTCCGCCCATAGATATTAGTGGACTGCCCAAACCCACACAGTGGGCAGGTTTGGGAGGATTTAGACATTCCATGCGTGGACTCTGCCGAGGTCTACGAATAGATTTCATCTCGGTATGTATCGAGGTTGAGGCCAATGCAGATTCGCCGTAGGAGATGTGATATCGGATTGAATGGCACTGTTTAAACCGTAAAAGTCACCCTTTAGAGGATAACGGTGGATTGAGGTCTTTATAATTGCATATTTTCTTCCAGTATTCGACCGCTTCCTCTGAATCAATGGGCCTTATATGCGAAATCAGAAATCTCGTGACACTGCTGCCAGGTATATGGCCTCATCCAATAAAGGCCACCGAGATGCTAACGAGCGTTTGTTCTGGCCAGCAAAACCAGTATCAACGCGCTCGTATATCAGCTGAAAAGATCTTCGAGACGGTCGCACGATTGATATGAAGATTGAATTGAGATGAAAACCACTCAGCGCATGCTCTCTGAGTAGGTTTATGGTGTGTCTCAGGTGCATAGATACGCAGTGGTTTTTTCTGAGCATCGGATATGCCTTTGTTAGGCTGTTTTGACATAGCCAGCTTGGCCGAGAGGCGACCCAAGATAAAGTGAAACGGGCCAAATACTGCATTCTATGGTTGAGGGATATGACGAAGCAGAAATCGAAGAGACATTTTTGTGCCAGACAAAAGGTGTGCCGGATGGTGTTTTTGTATATGGCAAACCGCAAAAAAGTGGGTCCGTTGACCAGATTGTGGGGCCTCATGAAAATATGTGCCTAACCTGGGCATGCTGAAAACGGGAGTTTACTGTAGATGCTCTGCATAAGACTACCCTTTGGCCTTGAACATTCCCGCGTGAATGATAGAACAGATTTTTGGGGTATATTTCCAAGTAAAGACGTGCGGCGATTCTAATCAGCAGAGTATCTATGTCTACAGTACTAATGCGGCCGTCCTCAACGTAGAGTTCTTAATATCAACAAATCTTCCATCCAGTAGCCTATCTAGAAATCTACTATACAAATCCCCACAGATACTACGTAGACTTATGCTGAAAGCCTCCGACAACCCTGGCGCTCTACCTAGAAGTCTAAGGAAGGTAGAAAGAGCCCTCTCGAGGCATTGAGATCAAAAGGAAGTGCCCCGCCTCTGCCATACCACCCCATCTATCACCTTTTATCGGCTGGTTTTAGCTGTTGCACTAGTTGTAAGAACACTTCAACATTGAATGACTCTTCACAGGGTATCTGACTATGTGACCGACCGCGTTTCTGGACGACCTTCCCATTCGAATATGCATCCTTCGTATTATCCTGCTGAAGGAATACGCTGCCATGTAAAGGAAAATCGCTACTCTTGATAATATGATTTGTCATGCTGTTGATTGAGCTTCTATGGCTCTTTGAACTAGTAAATACCTAAGCATCAAAGTTTGCCATTATAGCTCAAAGACAAATCTAGGCGGTTTTCATGTGACTGGCCAGATGTGCTACTGGGACGGCTGCTTGGCGGTAAAGACGTTTGTGAGGAGATATTAAGCCTTGGACGTACTCTTACTGTATTAAATGGTGCCATGCAACCGCTGCAGAGATATCCTGGATAGTAGTAGCTGACTAGAAGCCTTCTAACGGTGCACCACTAGAATTTTCTACAAGATCGTTCTTGTCAATATTATTATCTCCCCCATGGGTAAGATTGCTTGCGAAGCTGTGAGTGCGTTCAAGCACCGCAAAACAGCCAACGTATAGTGCCTGTAGTAGATCCGTTGGATTGCAGGCATGGAACAAGATATAATATCGTATTCTGCGGATATTCGGTAAGCTAGGTCGTAAGGTGGTTACTATGGCCATCAAGGAAAGGCGAAAACGGCCTCATAGACGCAAATTCGTGAACACTGGCTATTCTAGAATTTTTCAGAAGAGTAATGAATTTATAATGTCCACCCACCAAACTATTACTGCATCGTCTCCGACTGAACCATTCTGTGAATTGTGTAATGACAAACATCAGGATTCATTTTGCGCACTTCGTATCACTAAGCTTGAGTCGTAAATGACAGCCTTAATTTGAACTTCGGAGTAAAATAGTTGTACATTCGTACTCCTAATCATTCTAGAGGTTGAATCGCTTCCCACTGTCATGTAAAGGCGCACCGAGTGATAAGCGAGCAGATGGAGGCACTGCGACCTAGTGGAATCCGATTGCCGCACCGTGTCTGACACCGACATTTGAGAGACTTCTAATCTGTACAAAGAGCTTTTTGGTGTTGTCGGTGTGAGTTTGAGTGTTTGAGCAGCAGTAAATGTGTCAAATATGCTTTAAGAATTCGCCTCCCTCACGCGTTGATTTCTATAGGGCGGAACTGTATGAACGGGCCGGTTTTCATCATAGTGAACCCCCAGAACGTCTGAAATTGCCCTTTAAAAACCGCTTTGCCTTCACCTACATTCCCAATTTTTGCGGGCTCTGCTCGGCGGAAGTCGTATTGGGCGATAACCGTAGCCATACCGAGCATAATCTCAGTAATTGCCAGCCCTTTACCAACGCAGTTTCTCGGGCCAACTGAAAAGGAAGCAAAGGCAGCTTTGGCCAAGCCCACATGCTCTGTACCTATCTCTTCTGGGATCCACCGTTCGGGACAGAATTCATGAGGCCTGGGATAGTACTTTGGGCTGTGGTTCAGGGACCAAATTCCCGTTCCGACTTCACAGCCGGCTGGGATTTGAATGTTATGCTGAGGCACAAAAAGGCCACCTTCTAGCACTTCACGCCAGAGAGGACCAGTAACAGGAGGGCACAGGCGAAGTGCCTCTTGTATACAAGCACGAAGGTACACGCATGAGGATAGCTTGGGCCCTTGGCATACTTCTGACTCTGAAAAGGCCATCCTAACCTCTTCTGTTACCCGGGCATAAGCAGCGGGGCTTTGGGAAAGGTAAAAGAACAAGGCCGCCATGCCGGTGGATGATGTGTCTGAGCCTTTGTTAAGAGAAGCCAAACTGTCAGCATTTTATCGCATGTATTTATGCTCGATATGTTCTTGCTTAACTCACCGGCAATGATTAATAGGTTACTTTCCACCCAAAGTTGTTGATTAGAGAAGCTCTCTCCCGTTTCAGGGTCATTTGCTGTCAAAAGCGCCCTGAAGACATCACTCCCATTGTCTGAATCCCCTCTCGCTTTTCTTTCTTCCATGATCTTTCTGGATTTGGCGTAGAACCTCGTGGCCTTGCGCCTTGCCTGAGGGAACAAAATATGATGCAATTTCATTTTTTCAAGGCCTGGAAAATGCAGGAGGAATCCAAATCGCTGCATTTGGGCGATGATACCATCGATAACAAAGTGATTTTCTGAATTACCCAGAAGGTTGTAAGAGGTGCCAAACACCAATTCGGACATCACATCAAAAGTAAAATAATCACCTGAAACAACGGTAAGCCTGAGCATTCTGCCAATTTTCGTTTGAGAATCCTTACACCAATGAGCCATGTTTTTAGGTATGCTCCACCCGTCAACAAGTGGTAAATGCCGTAGAGTATTATCATGTCGGTCTTGCTCCTCACCAAGAGCTCTAGCAAACAAAACAGCAACCTTCCTCAACTTCGCATCCATCAATCGAATATTTGTATCAGAGAGCCCCTGGTTGAGGAGCCGTCTGAACAGCTTGTGTCTTCCATTATCGATGGTACTTATACTTGCGTGTACCCCGGGAAGAAGCGATACTTTCTCATAACCCTTCGACTTGTGGACGTTGGCGCCATGTCCATAAATTGCTATCGAAGAGCTTGAGTCAGCAAATCTAACGGCTGCTATTTTGGCGGACTTTGAAGAGAGCTCGCATACCCTTTAAACCCGGTTCGGTGTTGAACACGATCCGATTTGGACCATATCGTACAATATCTCCTACGATGGCTCGAAAGTCAGCGACTGGTGCCTGAAGTCAGGGAATTTCAAGTCCCCACCGTATTTCTCGTGACAAGCCCAGATATCTGTATGAACATCCTCGATGAATGTGTGGTATACGGCATACCAATTGGTGAGCTTTGCAAGGAACGGGCCAGGATACTTGGCGTATGGGTGAAAATAGAGACGATATAGACAGACAACTACCTATGGCAGCCGTAGAATATGTAAGTATCCCATGGGTCTATTTTAAGAAACCAGGCCTACCGTTGCGAAGACGCCGAACCCAGATAAAATGAGCCAGGGTAAAGACATGGTTGCCATAATCAGTTCAATGCGATTTCAGTTCAATGACCTTCAAGAAAGACTGGAAACAATAAGACTGACGGCTGTCCCATCCAGTACATTTATGCCAGTCTCAAGCAGCAGAATCCACGGTCATATGGAAGTAACAGTGATAGGACAAAGCGGAATTCCATTATCCGAAGTAAAAATAGAATCAACTGATCTAGCTTTGAGTATCCAGAAGCCAATGGGGAAACCGTAGTATTAGCTAGGTGCAAGCCAATCCGACGAAAGTACCAATGTCCTAGACACCACTTTACGGGTCATGCTCCTCCAAATTTGCATGGATCATGTGGGTCTGGCGATTTAACGTGGGCATGTGGAGGCCTTAGTAATGCCGCATGAGCTAAGATAATAAGGGAACCAGGACTTCAGTAATGCAGACGGTAGGTACCAGAATATCCGAGCTGTGCTCTCCGGACACTCGGCGGGCAACGGCCCCACCTTCTTGAAGGGGAGTTTACTTCCATTCGGGAAACTTCGATATTCGATATCATAGGCATATATTCCGCATCACCTCCAATTTTAGCCGTACCCAATGCTCCCATAAGCACAGAATCCGCCGCATTTTGTCAGCAGTCAGATTGTGGCTAAAAGAGGATCAGTGCAGACACGTCAATTCCAGTAATGCATCCTGAATCCTTACTGCTCCTTTCAGACCATCACTTTATAAGGATTTCAAGCTCTCAAAGTGGCAAAATGACTCAAGCTAGCTTCCATAGCGTTGTATTTTGAACCCGACAAACGGCGCTTGATTTTATAAAAGCCAGACCTACAAAAGTCGCGGTTTGCCTTTTCCCGCACGGCAGCCATATTCAGGTCTTTTCTGACCTAATTGTTCCTTTTCCCTTTTCCTTACATTTTCGGTGCCTTCTTTTAACAGGCCGGACACTCATAAGCTTGACGTTACTTGTGTTGAGTACGACGGCCTTCCTTGTCACCTTGATCCTGGTACCCGTCAATTGTCTCCGGCTTTCTATAAGTGAGGCAATGTGTTTTCTGCCCACGTTTGAACAGTATCCTAGTCAACATCTGATCTTGCGGTCGCAATTCAACTCTCGGCTATGCTTTACCACATACCATCACCCATTAGCCCTACAATGGTATCCTCCGTGGAATTGGTGTTTAAAAGCGAGCGCATTACGCTGTGGTTGCAACGGAACTTGAAGAAAGTCCCTGGTAGAGCAAAACGGACCTCTTCACCGAGAAAAGCACGCACTGAATTAGAAATGGCCGGTGGAGAACCGAGTGGATTTTAACAAGCCATACCCAGTCTTCAAAGGAACTCCGGTCTCGAAGTTCTCGCAAGTCTTCAGATAGAAGCAGGCACAGGATGGCTATAACCCGTTCATATTCAAAATCGCGTTGAAGGCAGACAGATTTGAATGAATTAATAAATTTTGTATTCGATATAATTTCAGTATACTATACCTTAAGGGCAACATCACAAATCGTTCTCCAGCCGTCCGAAGTGTACCGAACTGTGATGATGATTCTAGTGACTGTCGCAGAACAGATCTCGGCCAGGAAAGCGGCCACATTTTGAGCCCGCTTTAACCAAGGGCTAAAGTTAAACGACAATTTCACGAAAATCCTATGTAGTGTACATACATTCAACACAACAATCAATAATACTGGACTGAGATCAGGAATAATTATTGCAACAACATAGGAAGAAATATATTAGACAAAACGAGGAACCATCTGCGTCTGAGAATAGGGAGTTGCGATATGACAAAAATCAAAGTATCGATTTTCCAGGCACACTAAAAGTCTTTCAAGAATGGATCCTTCTCCAAGTACGTGTTGATTAGGTCGATGGCCTTTGGTGGGGCGGAAAAATCGCAGTAAAAGCCTTCACTGGTCTTGCACATGATGCTTGTGCGGACTAGGAATGTCAGCTGGATCATGCAGCAGGAGGAAATTCTCAGGAGAAGGACATTCTTACATCTTCGAGGCGCTCCAGCTTTGTTGCTTTGCCCGATAACGAGTATATCGGCCTTCCGATGTTGATCCTGCTTCGTAACAGCGCTGTTGAAGTTTAAAGTCTTCCATGCTCCGCACCAGTTTGAGATGGAGTAGAATCTCTCAAATGGTTCGCAAATATGGATTGGCTGTCCGCGGCGTACCATTTCTCGGGTCACGGACATACCAATGTCAATGTCGTCTTGCTCTAGCGCTTGATTGACGGATTGACGATTCCTGTACGCAATTTCGCTGATGGGAGTAGATCCGTCGATCTGAAAGCGGGCAGTAGCATAGTGTAGACTGTTATGGATGAAGCCTTCGTACTCGCCGTGAGGCATCTCAGGATGGCGGCAGCGCACTGGATCTGGTAAGTGAAGCCTAGCAAGGCAGAGGGGAGACATACAATTGATTGTCTGAGAAAGCGCTATCATCCTTGGCTTGTTATCGTATATGCGAGAAAACTGGCCGATTAGCTTATTTCAGTATCGCCTGGAAGGATGATCAAACCTTGACAATGATGGCAGTTAATATGTCGCCCTGGCTAATTTTGGCAGTAGGTCCATATTTTTGCTGCAAAACTCTTTGATGCCGTTGGTGTAGCAACTGGATAAAAGATTGCTTGAAAAACAGGACATGGGCCGATTCCTTTCTGTATACCAAAATGTCAGGCAGTAGCCCCAGGATAACAAAGCAGTGCTCCATCCTTCGTCTGACTCTCATTCTTCCCTTTCGAAAGACCTCGTTCTTTGAGAACTGGGCATACGGCTTGGACCGGGGTAGCGCGTCATCATTGTAACCGACCATTGGCGGTGGGATTTTTCCCTCAGCCAGACCGAGCCATGCTTTCAGGATATTCGATAACCCGTATTGGTCTGCCACAGTATGCGGCAGGTTTATAGCAATAGCAGTCGTATCCGTTGCAAAGGTTAGGTGAACATAAAGTAAAGGAGTATTCGGCATCTCGTCTTTTCGGCTTGCAGGCCAGCCCGGTGGAGCGAAGGCGTTGTCAATTGCATCAACGGGGGGGAGAAAAGAGATGTTGTTCGTATTGGGAACTTCGAGCAGGGAAGCGATGTCCCAAAATGCTTTCTCATTTTCGTTTGAGCTCCATTCGAAAAGTAGATAGCCGTCGTCGAAGGTTTTCGGGAGGTGATACTCCAGTCGCTTGTCTTTGGCTCGGGAAACAAGTCGCGCGCCGAGTTTCCTCCAGTGATAACGTATCAACTGGTCCAAGGCATCCTTTAACACATTTTCATGTAGGTGCCTATCAACAAAGAAAAAGGTCCGAGTGCGGATGATGTTAATAGGCTTTAGTTGATCAGTCGATGTCACCGGAATAATCTCCATATTACTTCACTTGATGTTCCCTCGCTGGAAGCAAATAGTAAAGGTAACCGCGGTCCCCTGAAAACTGAAAATATAGCAGGATGACACTACGAGAGCAGTATCTGGAGACCAATAAAAGGGAATACGACATGGTAAGCAGGTGGTATAACTGAGGCATGTGCCATTTTTGGCTAACCAAATTAGGTCATATGGCACTTATGTTCCCTTCTGGCAATGGGTGACCCAATAAAAATTCCGGAAATTCCGGAAATAAGGTTATTTTTGGACGGGAGGACGGGAAATCGCGGCCTATGGGCCTTTATATTGGCATTCATCTATTCAAATGCTATCCTCAAATGTTGGCAGTAGACGTCATCGATGACTGGAAAATGACAAATATGCAAAAGTAATTTCCCAATAAGGCAGAAAGTCCGCGGTACCAGCGAGAGATTAGAAAATTGCGAGGTGGGTTTATGACTCAGATTTAGCAATTTTAGTACTAAAGAGCTGAATTGGGGTTTTTACGCCGAGTCGACTTAAGCCATCTTAAATCGCAGTATTTCACGCCCGTTAATTTAGCACCGTCAAGAAAAGAAAGAAAAGAAAGAAAAAGAAAAGAAATACAGGCCAAAGGGACGAAGGACGATATGCGGCAAAACTAAGAGGCAGAGATAGAGGGTTGATATAAAATTTTAATTATACTAGTAGAAAAAGCCCGAGGAGAAGAGAAATGATCCTTGGATGGTCGAGCTGTCATGTTCCCAGGGCCCAGGCGTTAGCCATTCATGAAGACATGATGAGTAAATAATTAATCAAAAGCAAAATGAATAATCAAACCCAACTCTGGTGGGCTGCATAATGTCTCTTATTGAAGGTTTCAGAGATTTAGCGAATAATATCCATCTTTAACGTTGCCATTAGATAGAAAAATGCCGTTTTCAGACTAGACCTAGATTCAGCCATGTGGGGGGACCCATCACTGCTGGTAATTTGACGGAACTTTCACAATCTTCTAAATACCCAGAATCACGACTGTGAAAAGCCACCGAACTCTTGTTGTCTTGTAATCCATGGTCTTATTTGAAGCAGCCTGAGACGCAATTTAAGTGGCCGAAAGTATGTTAGTCTTGAAAACTCAGTTTTAGCAGTCTTCCTCGAGACAGAAGGAGATTATGGGACAAGGTTGCTTATTGTAGTCGTGCGTAAGCTCGGTGTTACTTCCACAAATGAAGTCACCAGAAGTATTGATCAGCAGTTCTCTGTTTGCAAGTACTTAAAGCAAGTAAGATGCTTCCATCTGTGGTATTTCTGATAGTATTCAATACTTCATTCCCTATGGCTTTCGGCTCGATTCGAACCCATCTCTAGATATGGCCACAAGCTGGAGTCAAGCAACGTCGCTAGAAAGATTGGACTCCAATTCATACAAAGTCATTTTACAAAAGGACTGGTGTAACGGTACAGGTAAGGGTGATATCTAGCAATTACTGTTATGGCGTCGGTTAAAAACATGAAGTACCCCATGGGGGATATCTAGTGTCTTGCTTTATGCAGGCTGTTACCTCCTATTTCCAAGACACATTGAGAGAGAACCAGTCACACTCTATGACTCTTCATGTACAATTTGCAAGAAGAGCCCGGATTGGTGTTGCCAATATTGTTGTTAGGGACGTCAAGCTTGGAAGGCGGCTGTCTACTGTGCATGTCGCACTTGTTCAACAGGGAAAGGAAGTGACCATGGGCTATATCACTCGTGTGAAGTCTGACCCCGAAAATGGGTTATCTATCGATACGGGATGGGACCTCTATCCAAAGCCGTACGATGTGGATCTTTCCAAACTGCGGGACGGCCGGGATGAGAGATGGGTTGAACGCCACCAGGATTTAAAGTCACACCGGCATGTGCAGACTTTTATTCCCACTGAGGGGCAGTTTCGTACTGGGATGGTGGATCAGTGGATATGCATGCAAGATGCGAATGGCGGATCACGGTTTACCAACGAGACTCTGGGTTATGTTGCTGATGTGTTTTTTGTTGAGCCCAAATTTGCTAAATTTAGATTTGCGACCGTGAGTTTGATGCTGGATGTAAGGAAAGTTATTGCAAGGGAGGGGTTAGAGTGGTTATTCATGCGAACAACGATGAAACAGCTAAGGAAGGGGAGGGTTGATGCTGAAGTTGTTATCATGGATGCGACTGGCAACCTGCTCGCAGTAAGCCAACATGCCACGCTGATCGATGTGTATCAAAATACGGCCGAAGCAGAAACTCTTAAAGACAAGGGCAAAATCTAGTGTAAAATAGGCAAATGTCAACAGATAATCCGACAGCCTTCTACTTCGAACTTTTTATGCCCTTGGTAGGGAGAAAGGAGAGACGGCTCAGGGCCGTAGTTGTGCAATTCGCAATTTTTTTTCCGAAAATACATCCCATTTGATTTGTATTCGGCTTCCCTTGGTCTGACAAGATGGCCCCTTTACCAACCAAAACAGGCCACGGCAGCCTAAGAAGGTCAACAAAGCCGCCCCGAAATGGCAAGCAACCACGTCCTACCCCCTTCGCAGAGATAGCGTACATTAAAATTCTCCATCCTTCGCCCCCTTTTTTAACTCAGGACCTGACGAGGCCAGGGTTCGGGTTTATCATTCTTATATTAATGCAGTCACGGAGAGGATACAAACACAGCGCAATGTGTGCTATATATACTACAGATAATATCAGGGAAATGGGCACAAGCCGTGATAATTGCAGTCTTATTATGAAGCACAACAGGAGGCAACTTTATTTGGCGCTTACTCTGGTTGACATTCCGACTCATCAACATGGATACTTCCTTGGGTGAATGAGCTGTTTAGAGCTGTTGAATTAGTTATCTATATATTATTTATCGCATGAATCATTAGGTATATAGAGGCCATGGCAGGCATTACGAACGATCCATTTCGCCGGTTTGATAGAATAGCTAAGCGTAAGCCCAATCGCGAATGATGTTACTCCGAGCCCAAAGCTTTTTGAATAATATCGTAGACGGTCTCGTTACAAAATAAGTTGTGGTTTGATGAGCGTCATCAATTCCAGCATTGTCCCTCAGCTGTTGCCACAGTAAATACAGAAAATGCTTTTGAGTAGTACATCACAGCTTTTGGAACCCATTTGACCAGTTTAGCTGAGGGCTCCAGGGGAAATGGCTAGTAAGCAGTGCCAAAAACTTTTTGACTATTTCACGAACTGGACTGAGAAATTTATGTAGCTGTTAAAAGCCTATACCTTCTATCAAGAGAAGTGTAAAGATAAAAATGGGCAGCTTCAGTCCTTCCAGCCCACGTTTCATTATTGTTGGACAACCTTAACTCTCTGTTGTTCGATCAGATCATAAGTTACTTAACGGATTTTATCGAATGGATTGTTGGAAGATTCGGTCCACAAGGAAACGGTTGCTTTTGCGAAAATATTAATGTAGACAGACTGACACTTAGAAGACAGCTAATGTGGCTTATTAACATTCATTCTTTCATTCGGTTTATCATAAGTAGCGACAGGACAATGTCGCATGTGCAGCTTGCTTCTACTGAATTTTTAGGAATTGGGACAAATGGATATTTCATGTGAATCATCATACCAGTGAGTGTTGGGAAATTTGACCCCTAGAGCAGGAGCGACCGGCTCACAGTTGACTGACACCTGTATGAAAACGAAACCTACAAGTCGCGAACGATTCACTCTGCTACCTCCCCTTGTTTTCTGTACCGACACTCATGCTCAATTTCAGCGTGGGAGAGGCTGATTTGGTTATCGAATTCCAAGGTAATAGGGCGCAAAGGTCAATCAAATCACAAAAAAGCCGCCAATTGCCATCCTTACGGCAGATACTATTTCAGAACTAAACCAACTTGTCAAGAGCAAGACCTCCGAGAGTTTAGTCAAGCACCTCTGAGCGCGGACCGTGGCCTTCAACCGGCGGGAAGAAGGTAGCTTCACAAAGGAAAGTGGCATTAAACGTTTCAACATCCC